ATATAAATTGGATTTACCATTGTTTCAAACTCTAATTGAAAATGCCGCTGGACTATTCAAAATAAATTCTGTTTTTAAATCAGACCTGTAATATTTCATTATAACTATTTAGGATAAGATTCATTTTTTTACTTCTGTTTGATCATTTATGTATTTTGAAAGATTTTTTTTTGGGATAGCTAAGAATTTCTTTCTATTCAAATTTATAAATATTTGAAAATCTAAAAGAAGGTCCAGAATATAAGAAAGTCAAAATAATTACTTGTGGTAAAGAAATTGCAAAATACTTTGATTATCTATTTAAAAATATAGAATAATTAAAAAATAAAAGATAAATTATATTATTTTTTCAAGATATTCATATATATATGGATAGGTATATTTACAATAATAATTTATCTTATTTAGATTTGATTTATTGTAAAAATTAATAATTTAATCAGAATAGCGACGTTTGTTTCATCAATCTCAGACGAACGAGACCGAGTTTATCTTCATATAATTATAACATAATTCTTAAATACTAATAAGCTTTAATTAAATTTAATTAATATTATGGGATAGATAAATGAAAATAGAAAGTGATTTTTTTGTTAAATATATTATTTAAATTTAAATATTGAGATTATTAAGTATCAATTCAACTGACCTATGATTCAATGGTACATTAAATTCAAAAACTTAATCATTTTTTGTAATTATTTTAAAATACATTATATAAAAGTGAATATCCTTATTAATAATGAATTCTTGGTTATTAAGATTATTTTAATAGAAAAAATTATGTAATATTACAATTAGGAACATAATTATATGAATGTATTTATTTTTGTATTATATCAAATACTTAATTCATAAATTATAATAAAAATATTAAGCTTATGTAATAATAAAATAAGAATTTGATAATTAGATATTGAAAAAATAAATAAGAATTGATATCATTAAAAGGAGATTATGTTTATCTATTATAATTGATTATAAAAATATGTTAAGTGATAAAAAGGAATATATAAGAATTAGAAATAATTATTTTTTTGAAAAATAACTATTACATCATATTCTTGGATTAATCATATTTTATTCAGATAGTTTTTATTATAATAGCATTAACTTTAATAAAATTATTTAGCTACCGATATAAAATATTAGTGAATAATTATTTCGAATGGTCAGAATTAATAAATAAAGGTTTTACAATTATATATGAAAACCATAAATTGAACTTACAAGAAAGTTGAATAAATTTAATAATAGAAGTATTGCTTTCAAAAATAAATGAGTAGATCGAGAGAAATAATATTGATGAATATTTACTTAAGTCAAAATAGGTATAGATGACCTCGTTTAATAAAAAAAAGAGATGATTGATTGTTATTTTGATGGATTTGTTTAAATTGATGTAATTATGAATAATCATTATAAATTTCAATTGCCAACTGTTACTATATTATTGATTAATAAAATATAAATAAATGCCAGCAGAATGTGTCAAAGTTATTGTAAGAATGCGTCCATTCAATCAAAGAGAAAAAGAGAATGGAAGTAAACCATGTGTTGTAGTTTATGAAGACACTAATACTGTTGAATTGCGAAATGTATTGTTTTTTAAACATTGGTATACTAGACATAAGATAATGATGTAAAATCGTATACATATGATTACGTATTTGGAGCAGAAACACCTTAATTATCTATTTATTAGAAAACTGCTTTCAATTTAGTAGAGAGTGTAGCAGATGGTTACAATGGAACAATATTTGCTTATGGTTAAACAGGTATTAATATTCAATTTATTATATAGGTTGTGGTAAAACCTTCACTATGATTGGAGATCCATCAAGTGTAATAATATAATTTATTATTAGGATACAATGAAAGGAATCATACCTAGAACTTTTGATCAAATAATTAACATTATTAATAATAACTCAGACACTAACAAAAAATTTCTACTTCGTTGTTCATATATAGAAATTTACAATGAAGAAATACATGATTTATTAAGCAAAGATGTTAAATAGAAATATGATTTAAAAGAAGGATAATAAGGTGTCTTTATTAAGGATTTAAACATAGCAGTTGTTAGGACTACTCAAGAAATGGATAGATTTATGTAATTGGGTACATAAAACAGATCAGTTGGAGCAACAGCTATGAATAAGGAATCTAGTCGTAGTCATTGCATATTTACTGTATATATAGAATGTTCTGTTACAGATCCAAAAGGAAATGAGAGAATTACTGCTGGTAAATTAAACTTGGTAGATTTGGCAGGAAGTGAAAGATAATCAAAAACTTAAGCAACAGGAGATAGATTAAAAGAGGCAACTAAAATTAATTTATCACTTTCAGCTTTAGGTAATGTTATATCAGCACTTGTTGATGGTAAAACATAGCATATTCCTTACAGAGATTCTAAATTAACAAGATTACTATAAGATTCTTTAGGAGGAAATACTAAAACAATTATGATTACAGCTATTAGTCCATCTGATTTTAACTTTGATGAAACTTTATCTAGTTTAAGATATGCTTCAAGAGCTAAAATGATCAAAAATTAACCTAAAGTAAATGAAGATCCAAAAGATGCTTTATTAAAAGAATAAGCTGAAGAAATTAAAAGACTTAAAGAAATGTTATCTAAATAAGCAGCAGGTTAACCAATATCTTTTGATAATTATTAACCTATTGGAAATTCAGAAAATAATTCAGAACTTGCAAGATTAAAAGAAGAAAATGATAAATTGAAAGAAAGAAATAAACTACATAATCAAATTTAAGGAGGAGGTGGTCCATCAGAAGAAAAACTTAAAGAATTACATGAATTTAAAGAGAAAAATAATTAATTATTGTAAGAAAAAGAAAGAATTGAATTAGAAGTAAAAGAGAAAGAATATTAAGCAGAATAAGAACGTTAAGCAAGAAAAAGATTAGAAGAATTATTGAAAGAAAAGGAATAAATGATGGTATAAGGAGGTAGAGGTACTGAAGATGAAAAAAAGAAATATAAAAAATTGAGATAAGCTGTTGATTAATAAAAAAAAGAACATGAAGCATTAATTAGTTAATAAGAATAGTAATAATAAGAACTTTTGTAAATTGAAACAAAATATCAAAATGTTTAAGAGGAAGTTGAAAAATTGAGGAAACTTGTTAAATATTTAAGAAAGAAACTGGAAGAGG